TGTTAACATGCCTTATTTTCACTAGAAAATAACATTTGCCATGTGCAACAAGCAGAGTTAGAGAAAAATAAGTAGGGAATGAGAGGTCATTCTAATTTACCAAGAATGGTTTAAATGAAATTTAAGAAAACAGAAGAACACAGTTGCGGCCCGATCACATTTTCCTCTGTTTTAGTTTTCTTAAGCCAAATCTTCTGAACTAATAAAGTATCTTTGGATATGAAAATTTAGATCAAACAGATATGCAAATTCGGAAAACTTATATAGACATGAACATAGCAAATGAATAGTTTTTAAATTGTTTTGAGATAAGAGACTACTATCTATGGTAGGTTGCGAAAAGAAAAGGCCATAATATTTCCTCCCATTCCAACAAAGTCCCAAAAGAGAGTATCTAATTTTTTTTTCACCCCTTTGAATCTGGGCTGCTTGTGAGTGGATATGACAAGAATAACCACATGGGAGTTCTGAGCTGGCCTTCATAGGCCTACTGGTGGCTGGCCCTTGCTTGGCAGCTGGGTCTTAAGATTTCAGGAGGGCTTTGAGTCAGAGGGGCTCACGGGCCTCTTTCCAAACACTAGTTAGGTTGAGCACATGCTTCCCTTCTGAATCCAGAAATCCGAATTCAAGGATACCTACCTTTCCTTCCGTTGGCAAAAGCCCAAAGACTAAGATCTGAAGTTTCCCTGATAGACACTTCTCAGACGTTATCACTTTCGGCTGGAAAAATTCAGCCCATTCACCGTGTCCCCACAAAGATAGGACATTTGGAAACGGGTGCCTGGCTCCCCCTCAACTTCAGTTTATGAACCTCCTCCCTTTGCTGATTTTACTCAGCATATTTGTGCTGTGAATACGACAGTGGTTCTTTGACTTCTTTTCAAAGATCATCCAACCTGGAGGTAGTCTTGGATTTGTATGTTAGCGCTTATTCTCATTGTCTAGTCTGCCCATAGATCAATACAGCAGACATCCAAGGCACTCCCACTGACAACCATTACTGTTCACAGACATAGGAGCGAAGCTAACTTTGACTACCTCTGGCCTACCTTCTGGATGAACTGCAGTAACATACGTGAATCCAGGTATGACCTGCAGAACCACCTAAATGAGTCTAACCCAAACTGCTGATCCATAAAACCAGAAATAAATAGAAACAGTTCAGCTCTGCAACTAATCTCAAAAGGAACATGATGACCATCATAGAGACCATCCCGGCTGAAATTCTGGGGCTTTCTCAGAATGAGAGTGGGCAAACTCCCCTTTCTCTCTAAGGCAAAGCAGCCCAAGGCCACACCTGACATCCTCGGCACTGAAACAGCCCAGCTCTGCAACTGAACCTCATCATGCTACCAAGCCACCAAACGTTCCAGCTTCATAGCTCCTGGACCATACCACCATGTATGCAGCTGTGCAACATCCCCAAATTTCATAGCACCGTCAGCCAAGGAGGATCACAGTAAATCTAATGGGAAAGTTGCATAGATGACCACTGAGCTCAATGAGCAAAAATAATAACAGAGAAGGCTCAACTAGTACCAACCAGTCCAGACAATAACTTCAGTAACACCATGGCGAGATATAACAATTGTCAAAAATTACTGTTCTAATGGCATTTGTGTTATAACAAACAATATGAAGTAAATTTGTTTGTGCCTTCTAAGAAGGCACGCTAAGGTCGTGAGTGGGAACTGGAACTATTGGTGGAAGGAAAGGCACACTGGTGTTGGAATTGGTGCTGGAATATTTAAAGCCTGAAACAACAATATTATGAACAGCCTGGGAAATCACAGTGTTATCATAAAAAAATTTGAAGTTGACAGGTAAATAAAATAGTTCTTTTAAAACTACTAAGTTTTAGAGTAGTTTATTAAATAGCAACAAATAACACAATATAGCATTTGGGAGCTTTCTTGATATCAGACATATTTCCAAAGTTCAGTATTTATTATCTCTTTCAGTTTTCACAATAGTTCTATGAGGAAGATTCAGTATTACTCTCATTTTACATTTGAAGAGAATAGTGCCCCTTTTCACTCAGCTTGTGAAAGAACAGGCCTAAACCCAAGGGGCCTAACTCCACTAGCTGTTCTCTTTCACATTACCCTACTATATTCTATTTCAAAAGAATTTGATGTCGTTCCCATGTTTGACATACTCAGGCCTACTAAAGGAGGCAAATTCCTTTTTCTGAACCTAGAAACATGCCAACTATAAGGTTTTGTTGTCACTATCTTCTAAATACTCCAGTCTCCACTCTCTTCTAAATACTAAATACTCACAAATAATACTCCAAATATCTGCGGAGCATTATTTTATTGAGTACTTTACTATATGGGGCTGGAGCCATAGCACAGCAGGTAGGGCGTTTGCCTTGCACACAGCCAACCAGGGTTCGATTCCTCCGTCGCTCTCAGAGAGCCCAGAAAGCTACCAAAGTATCCTGCCCGAACACCAGAGCCTGGCAAACTCCCCATGGTGTATTCAATATGCCAAAAACAGTAACAACAAGTCTCACAATGGAGACGTTACTGAAGCCTGCTCAAACAAATCGATGAGCAATGGGAGGACAGTGCTACAGTGCTACTTTACTACATACAAACTATCTATGAACCATTTTTCTACTTTTCTGTTATCTTTTTGTTCCATTTTTATGTGGCATAAGCAGAAATCCAGCTGTTCACTAGATAGCATGAGCTTGTATGATCAAGGAAAAGGGTATGTATCACTTACGAAATGATTACTTATAATGAATGCTGTAGTTTAAAGATTCAGGTGGAAGATTGTAAATTAAAATACAAAAATACAATTCCTCATAACAATGGAAATATTCACCTTCTCTTCAGAGTATCACTCTAATTTCTTAAAAGAAAAAAGGGAGCTGAGGATGTAGCTCAGTGACAGAATGATAGTCTTGTATGAGTAAGGCCTAGGTTCTATCTCCTGACACCACAAAACTAGAAGCAAAAGATCAAAAAGAAAAATCATTTATCATATGATGGGTTTCCTTGAAGTTAAATTATTTACAAGTACTGTTTAAGGCTATTATGAGTTTAGAGCTTAAGATGTGGCACAGAGGTAGAGCACATGCTTCGCAACTGTCAGGGTTTGATCACACACACACACACACACACACACACACACACACGCAAACACAAAAGTTCATGAGGGCAGACTGCAAAACATGAAGACCAATCTAGAATTAGACTGTCTGAATCCTAGATCACTGATTTACCAGCTGTAAGAGCTTGGCAGCTATGGTGTCAATCCCTGCTTCAACTCCCTTATACTGAAAAATGAAAAATAGTTCTTATCTTCAGTTCTATGAAAAACAAAAAACGAAAACACATACCAGGCTTTTAGAACAATGCCGAGCACATACTAAAATCAACAGTCTCATCCAGGGATCAACATTTTTTGGAAATGGCCAACAAAAACTGCATGAAGCCTGCTAGCCACAGGTCTATTGCAATGACATAACTTGAACTTGCAGTGTACACACACAATACATACACACACATACACCCAGAGAGTGTGTTACAACAACTTAATTGCAATCAAGTTTAAGTTTCATGTAATTTTCGCAAGTCATAAAATGCAATTCTTCTTTTGAGATTTTTTATGACCACTTAAATATGCAAATTTCTATCTTAGCTCAGGAGTTGGCTGCACATATAACAGGTAAAGCAAGCAGACTTCAGCAGACAATCCAATTCCATCACATTGTCAATTCTAATATAGCTCAAGAAAGAAAAAAAAGAAGAAAGAAAAAAAAAAGAAAAAACCTCTCTTCATAGAGCTGTCATGACACAGAAAACAGTGACTAAGACCTTCCAGCAGGCTAGGAGGAACCAATGACTATGCAAGCACCCCAAATGTCAAGCTACACTATACAAAACCATAGGAGAATGCAGCAGCAACCATAAACACTTAAAAAACAAAACAAGACCAAAAAAAAAAAAACTATACATCTGAGCCAGACAGACAGAAAGACATCCAGGCTCACAACCAGGCTCTCCCATTTATTAGCTGTAGGTTCTGCATTTATATTTTCTGATAACCAGGCATATGTCTCCTGCTTCGTGTACTAAAAGACATAAGTAAGGTAGGTTAGATGATCCACCCAGTGCCCGAGCACTTAGTAGGTGCTGTTTTTAAAAGGATCGTTTCTCCTTACTGTAATTGTCAGAATGCAGATCCTGAATGCTGTTCGGTAGGATATAAAGTGGGAATAATAATAGAAAAAAAAAAAAAGAGGGGCTGGAGCAATAGCACAGCAGGTAGGGCATTTGCCTTGCACGAGGTTGACCTGGATTCGATTCCCAGCATCCCATATGGTCCCCTGAACACCACCGGGGGTGATTCCTGAGTGCAGAGCCAGGAGTAACCCCCTGTGCATCGCCAGGTGTGACACACACACACACACACACACACACACACACACACACACAAGAGAAAGAAAGAAAGAAAGAAAGAAAGAAAGAAAGAAAGAAAGAAAGAAAGAAAGAAAGAAAGAAAATAAGACTGGGTTTTGCCTGTTTTCCTGTGTAACTAATGCACCTATGTAAGCCTCTATGGGCCACACTCTTGCAGTCTGCAGCTGATCCCCACCAGTACCTTCCAGCTCCATCCATCCCCAGAACCTGTACATTTGTTTGACACCTAACCTAGTTGCAGTTCGAAGTCACTGCCCATCGAATGCCCTGTAAGTCCGGGCTGGACACAGGGAGCTATGCTGTCACCCAAAAGCCCTCCTCCAAAGCTGAGGTTGAATCTCTTAAGTGTGGAAAAAAGAGACACATACTGACCTGGCGAGGGGCAGAAAAGCGTAGCTTCCTGAGAAGGGGGCGGGGGGAGGGGGGAGGTAAAGCAAGCTCAGCCCCGTTGTGACAACCCGCAGGTTGGAAGAGTCCCGGGGTCCAGTTTAAACATCGCGGGAGAGCTAGGGAGCCAATCACGGCGCCCGCCCTCTAACCCGGAAGCAGTCCCGGGGCGGGCCGCCACCGCCTTCTGCGAGCGCTTGCTCCCCCTGGACCTGCTTCCTGGCTCGCTCCGGTGCGTATTACGTGGGAGGTCTCGGGGCCGAAGCTGCCTTTCTGCCGGCCGCCCAGTGCTCCCGTCCTCTAGTAGTTTCTCGACCCTTTTTGCCCACAGAACTCGGGGTAGAGGAGGCGTGGTAGCGGGGTCTCGCTGCACTCACCCCAGCCAGGTGACGGCGTCGGGGATGCTCGGCGCGGGGTCTTGCCTGGTGTCAGCCACCTGTGCCTTTAGATCCTTGGAGGGTCGGTCCAGGCACACCCCGAGACGCCGAGATTGGGGGGGCCTGGGGCACTGCCTTAACGGGCAACGAGGAGGCGGGGGGGGGGGTGTCGGTCACCGAGCCCCCCTGACCTCCACCCTCCCTGACAGCGCTCCGAAGGCGTGTCACCTGGTGGTCGGTCACCGCTCAGGACCAGTCCCAGATGCCATCACCTACAAGATGATCCGTGTGTGAAATCCCCGATCTTGGGCACACCTGATGCTTCAAATACTCATCAGGTGTTTGACGTGTCCACCTAGGTCCTTTGTTTTCGAGACAATACCTGCATCCAATTAAAAAAACAAAAACAAAACGCATTTGGCACTTAGCATCCCTCAGGCTCATCCCAGGAAGCCTACTTTCGGAGTGTGCAGTAGCCCATCACGGCTTAGCTGAAGTTTTGTGCCTCCTGTTCGGAATGTTTTTGTCTCACGTGTTGGCATTCCTTCTTCCAGTTCTTATATTTTGATTCACACCCTGAATCATGACTCAACCTTTACTTCAAAATCTCCTTTGAGTCAGAGAACTGTGAGTTTCTTCTCTAGCATCGTTTTCCAACACCTTTGAAGCCTTCTGAATCCTGGCCCTACTTAGGAACACAGCCAGATAGTCAACTCCCTAAAGTCTCTCTCTCTCTCTCTTTTTTTTTTTTTTTTTTTTTGTGGATAGAATGAGGGTCATAGTCTGTGCCTCCCGCTTGGATTTGTGCAAAAATTAGGTGTTTTTTTTTTTTTTTTTTTTTTTTTTGTGGATAGAATGAGGGTCATAGTCTGTGCCTCCCGCTCGGATTTGTGCAAAAATTAGGTGGGAAACTCTTGGTGAAATGTTTAACACGGTGTCTGCAAGTAACACTTATTGACTGTCATTAGTTTTTTACGAATATACTTTCTAAAGAACGATTCCATCTCAAGGTATTTCTTGGTCATTTATTCTGCACATATTCACAAAGTTAAAGACCCATTTTTATTTGAATTGTTTGTGACGTTTGCCTGTATTGATTTATTTGCTGAAGGTTAGCAACACTTTGACTATTTGTGTCTTGTACTTCAATCCACAGCCCTCCTGAAGACTGTTCTATTTGTCTAACTGCTGAAGTTTTGACCTACAAGATGAAGCAAGATGCTATGAGAAATGCTACGTACACAGTGGATTGTGAAGATTACGTGCATGTGGTAGAATTTAATCCCTTTGAGAGTGGGGATTCAGGAAACCTTATTGCCTATGGTGGCAATAATTATGTGGTAGTTGGCACATGTACATTTCAGGTTAGTGTTCAAAACTAACGTGAGTGACATTGAAGATATTTCACGGATAAGAAAATGAAAAATTAGACAAATTTGGAAAGCTTTCTCTAAACTTTGATAAGATGTTGAGTTTAAATGTTTTTGTTTTTGTTTTGCTTTGTTTTTTTAAGAAAAAGAATATATATATATATATATATATATATATATATGGGGCTGGAGCAATAGCACAGCGGGTAGGGCGTTTGCCTTGCACGCGGCCAACCCGGGTTCGATTCCCAGCATCCCATATGATCCCCCGAGCACCGCCAGGAGTAATTCCTGAGTGCAGAGCCTGGAGTAACCTCTGAGCATCGCTGGTTGTGACCCAAAAAGCAAAAATTTAAAAAAGTTTTTAAAAAAAGAATATATGAGAGAGACATTCCCAGTATGTCTAGGATTTGTGTGAGCGTTAACTAGTGAAAAAGAACCTAAGGTTTCTCTTAGCCTCACAGTCATGGAATATCCTGTTAGTTGAAGGTTATTGACCAAACATTGTTTTACAAGAAAAACACCAGTTAAAGAAGAATAATTAATTCATTTGGTTTTCCTACCTTCCACTTTGACATAAGAAACAAGTCCATATAGGAAGTTAAAATCCTCTAGAAAATTTAATAGTTGTACTATGGTATTCGGTTCTCCTATTATGCTCTCATATTTTATGTATATCTGAAGCATACTTCTAGAGTATAGAAAGTACAGGATCATAATAATTGAATAAGCTGTTTAATCATTGTATTATTTAAGGCATATTATTTTAATTCTAATAATACTGCAATGCTATTAGTTAATATTTTTTAAATACTACCATTAGTGAGCTAATTAGACAATGATCAGTTTTCAGAGATTTTAATTTTTAATTAACAATAATCATTCCTCAATAAACCTAATTAGCTCTGATATGAAAATCAAGGAAATGAAAGCTTAATTTTCAAAGAATTAAAATAACTATCACTGAAGAAATACTATGAGCATTATATTACCGAAGCAGTTCAGTGCTTTACAATATGTTGATGTAAATGTAGTTTGCCACTTTATAGTGTAATATACAAAGTTATACATTAGACTTCATTTATGTTCATCCTGAGATGAATTATGAATTTGCACGAAGTAATTTTTTTCACAAATAGTTTTCAGCAATTTAAAATAACCCAATAAGATGATATCACTTGGAAGGCATTCAGGGTCTTATCTCCTATAAATGCAGTTTGCCACATTGCACTTTATAGTGCTGTTAATGTATGAAGTTGTCCATTGGATTGCATTCATATTTATCCTAAGGAGAAAGTATGAATTAATGTCTTTCATTTGTTAGTATCAGAGTAGAAAACGAGTCACCCCACGTTGTCTCTTTAGGTTGGAATATTTTTGGTGTTTAGGCTAAATAGGATTCTCAATTTGACTTTAGCTGGATTCCCAGGGTAGGATCATTTTTTTAAAAAATTCACATGATTAGGAGGAATAATATAACACACTTTTGAAAAAAACAGGAAAAGTCATTTTCCTAATGAGGGCTACTAGCCTACAAAAGAATAAAGCAGTCCCCTACAGGTGAAGCTCACTTTTAACTTCCTGGTTTTTAAAAATAATAGCTGCGAAAGTAGAAGTACATTTTAAAATACTGAAAATAATACACTTTCTGTCTAGTTTATGTATAACTAAGAAATGTTATTGGGGAATAAAGTCAAGAAAGGGACAAAAATCAAATGAAAAGAAAGGCAGAGATGATGGATGGAGAGGGGGAGATGAAAAGTGAAATAATTGGGGAGAGGGGCCCACACCCACTGGTACTCAGAGATTACTCACAGCATATTACTCCAGGGTACCTCTACCTCCCAGGAATCCAACCCAGGGCTCCTGAATACAAAGCATACACTAGCCCTTTGAGCCCTCCCAGGCCCCAGATGAAATAATTTAGTAATTCAAATTTTAACCCAGCAGGTCCAAACAAAAAGATCTCATATAACCAGTAGATAAATTCATTTTAAGAATGTGTTATTTTGGGTCTCATCCAGTGGTAATCAAGGCCTACTACCAGCTCTGCTTAAGGCGTTCGCCTGGCGGTGTTCAAGGGACCATGTGCCAGGGATTAATGTGGGCAAAGCACGCATGCATTCCAGCCCAATGAGCTCTCTCCTACCACCCCCCCTTACTGAACTACTTTTCTTATACTAAGTCTTTCGAATCTGCTGTTATGAAGTAGAATACATGCAACTATGAATAATAAAATTTGACAGTAAGTCATTGATAAATGCATTTTGTAAATCATAAAATACACAGATCTCAGCTACTAGTTCTCACGCTGAACTCCACAGCTCTGTATCCCCTCTAAATTGACAGGATTGGTTAATGCTTAGTACTCAGGTGTACATTCTGATTTAAAGGAGATAATGTTTTTGCAGAGAAATTTCAGAGTGGTATTAAAATATTTAAAAATTGAAGAGGGATTTGAATTAGAGTAGTGACACAGGTTTTGTGTTGTCATTTCTTTATGGCTAAAGTTGTCACTACCAGATCTGCTTAAGTGGTTCACCTGGTGATGTTTTAAAACTAGTGCCGAATCTTCTTTGAATTTTTACCCAGACAAGATCAGCTATTGCCAGATAGTCACCTTCACTGGCCTGCTGAACTCTCTATATCTCCAGAGAGCAGAATTTCAAGCATTGAGTATAATTTATATGGAGATAGATTCAGTTTACTTCTTAGGAGAACTCATCTAATAATTAGAACCACCCCAAACTGAGTAAGTTCCTTACAAGAAGTAGTCAGTTTCTTCCTACTAACAGCATTCAGAGAAAACTTAGGCAAAATTTTCTAAGAAAACTGAGCATTAGATGAAAGTGAAGTAGGTAAATTTTAGTCTCAACTAAAACTCTGTATTTGTCTTTAAACAAGTGTGGTGGGAAAGTTAGCCAATTTCAAACCCTGAAGCTAGCCCTTTCTTTAACCTGGCTTTGCCCCAACCTCAAATATGCTGGAACCTTGTGTAATTTGTGTTATGGCAAGTTTTCCGAAGTATCTTAATTTCCTGCCTATACAATACTGCCTACACCCTCGTCTAAACCCAAAATAGCATTCATCTCTGCCTATACCACACACACCCTGGCCTTTCAGTCTGGCTCCAATGGCAGGCACTGGTGCCAGGAAAAAACGCTTTCACTGTTAATACCTAAAGCTTAGGGCTCTTCAGTCCCTGGGATTTCTTATCCCCATGACCACCCAATATTTTTACCAGCCACAGTACCTAATTGTCAACACCATTGTTACAGTAGCAAAATAATGTCTTTGGATGGTTAAAAACTTCATTTTCCGAAGATTGATTTGTCAAGTGTGGAAAAGTAGATGTAACCCAAGCTATGAAGTCAGCTATGATTAGGCTCAAAAACTTATTTTTAAATTGCTTAGTGGTTGCTATCTTGGCATATCTGGCTGTTAGCTATGCAGTTCTTATACATGCAATTATAAAGTAATAATATTTGACAGTGTGTTTCTTTCCTTGATAAATGTATTTTTATTCCTATTTTCTCATTCATGGAAAGATGTTTTGATGTTAACTCTTCAGTGTTAGCTCTTCGGTTCACCTGAAATTTGAAGTAATTTTCAAGGGGTATGTGAATTATGTAGAGAAAGATTTGTGTAAAATACTGAAATGACTTTGCTAGAATTCCAAAGACTATCCCAGAAAAAAATCAATACATCCACTCTAGGATTCTGTTAAAAATTCACATTATAAAACTGCATTTAGAATCAGGTTGTTTGGAATTCTCAGAACAGCCTTCAGATAATTCCTGTCTTATTCCATTAAATATTAAGTTTTACTTGCTCTTTTTTCCCCCCTGATGATATTTCAGAGCCTACAAATTATTTTAGAAGATTATTGTAGTCAGTACAGAAGATTCCTTGAATAACTTTGTCATAAAAATTATTGTTTATGACAAAAATTACTCCAACTCCTAAAAGGTGACTTAAGTAACAATAGTTGTGTTTATTAAATTGAAATATTTTAAGCTTATAAAATATTTTAATCACGGCAGGTAGGACGTTTGCCTTGCAAGCAGCTGACCCAGGTTCGATTCCTCCGTCCCTCTCAAAGAGCCCAGCAAGCTACTGAGAGTATCCCGCCCACATGGCAGAGCCTAGCAAGCTCCTTGTGGTATATTCCTTATGCCAAAAACAGTAACAAGTCTCACAATGGAAACGTTACTGGTGCCCGCTTGAGCAAATCGATGAAAAATGGGAGGGCAGTGCTACAGTGCTCTATATAAAAGCATAAAAAATAATAAAATCAGTCCCTGTATTCTCTGCCTAAGAAACAGAGCATTGACAATTTTTTTGAAATCCTCTGATTATTCTTACTTCAATGCCATTCTTTCTCACCCACAAGAGGTAATCTTTGTTAAAAACTTGACCAACTCCTAACATATGACTGACCATTTTTAATAAATTGTCATTTTCTGAAATGCATAACTAAGTGAATTCAAAGTCCCAGACTCACATTAGGACCAGCTAATCATTTGAGATTTCTCACAGAGACTTTTCTTAACTTTTACCCATGGCACATCTTTTCCATGGCAGTTTTAATTTGGGGTTGGTTTTTCCCTCCATCCCCTTTGAAGGTGCTGGATCTATGCAGAGGTCTGTGATCTGGATCTTCCTTTGCACCAGGCAGTCGGCTTGTCAACTGAAACTTTTAGTTATCAGTGGTAGGCGGTGGCCGTCTAGTGACTGCCTGCCTCCATGCGGAGATGCTTATCTGAATGTAGAATTTTGTGTTTTTGTCATGGGAAGATTCTCGGGTTATTGATCATACTGCCAGACATAGGTGACTTGAATTTTAGGATTCATTTTTTTCCCTTTGTCTCTCCATGAGGAAATTATTTTAGTCATTACTGAACTAAAGCTAATAACCTGACTTTTATTAAGCTCCTAAGTACCAAGAGTCAAGTATCCACCAGGCTAACTTAACTATGTTGTTATTTGTATGTTCGTATCTGTAGACTGGGCTTATATACAGTAGTACATATAAGTATATAGTGTTTATATAATATGTGTACTTATTTATAAGTTCATATATGAACTACTGTGAAAATCACTGATACTCATTAAAGGGCCGGGGCGCAATTAAGTCCCAAACAGAGTTCCTTTGGACATTCTCAAAACTTTTCACTTAGTGTATTTTATCAGACTATCTGTTGATAATCCAGGTAAAGTTGTTTGTTTCATTGACTATTCTGGGGAAATGCCCCATAATTAAGATAAATTATAACATTATTGGCTGTTTGTAAGTGCCTTAGAGCAATAGTTTTCGGCCTTTTTTTCTACAGACATCTAGCAGTGCACAGACCAGCCTTTGAAAACTATTGCCTGGGATAGATTTTTTTGTGAGACCTAGTTTATTTGCTTGTTGTTGGTCGGTGAACTCATTAAATCTTCATTTCTCTACTGCTTTTGAACTTCTAAAAAGAATATATATGGCCTCGTGGTAAATTGTTTATTATAATGAAATACACTGCCTTGTTTGTTGTCATTATTAAAACATTTACTCTGTCTGCTTAGGAGGAAGAAGCAGACATTGAAGGACTTCGATATAAAACACTGCGGACATTCCAGCATGGGGTCAGAGTTGATGGCATAGCTTGGAGCCCAGAGACTAGACTTGATGCATTGCCTCCAGTAGTCAAGTAGGTTTCAAATTATTTTTAAAAATTTATTAATATCCTTTGTGTTAAGTGATCTGAAACCTTGGATCATGGGGACATTTGTTTCTCATTTGCATTTTCTCTCCAAACTCCAGATATTAAATATTTTGACACTTTGTGAGGTAGGCATATTGTCTAGATTTATGATACAAATCTACAACACAAGCAGTGATGTGTTTGGACCTCACTACAGAGTTCTTTCTGAAATTCATCCATATCATTTGAGTTCTTCATATATTCTCCACTGACATAACCACGTATGAAAAGTACAGCTCTATTCAATTCATTCGGTTGAATTACTATTCAAGTATATTGTCCCCATGCATAAGCCAAGATCACATTTTCAAGGTTACTGTGGTACACAAAATGATAGTTCTAATTCTTTTGTTTTATTTTCAGTGAAAGCTTTTTAAAAGAACTACTGTTTTACAAAAGCTAAAGGGTACCTCTGAGGCCTTCACAAGGGCAGTAATGTCAAATTGTTTAGAATTTGTTACAAAATTAACCCTACATCCACAATAGCAAGTCTGCAAGAGATATCTTATTTTGTTGAACAATGTTTAGCAAACATAAATTAGCTCTCAATCTGCTTTTTAATTAAGAGGTCATTTACAGGGGCCACAATAATAGTACAGATGGTAGGTCATTGGTCTTGCACACGTCCCCAGCATCCCATATGGCCTCCCAAGCACCACCAGGAGTAATTTCTGAGTGCAGAGCCAGAAGTCATCCCGGAACATCCCCAGGTGTGGACACCACCCCCCATACAATAAGAGAGAGAGAGAGAGAATTTACATATAATCAAATTCTCAGCTCTTGAGAATTCAGTTTGATTAGTGTTGAAAATGAATACACTTGTGTAAACCATTTATTGCAGTGGGATTATATGGTAATTGTCACCCTAAAACATTCTTCATGTTCCTCAGTTCATGTCTATACCCCATTTTCTATGAAAGTATCATAGATTTGCCTATTCTCAAACTTCATATCTATGAATCATTCACATTTTTGTGTTTTGCTCATCAGATTTGTTCATATTGTGTATACCTACATTAATGCATAATTATTTTTTAATTATGAGATTAAAGGATTCCATTATTTTATTTTTGAGGAAAATTTATTACATTGTATAAACCAATTCTTCTACAAAAGTTCCCAGTTTTCACCTATTACTACCAAAGTTGAAAAAGCATTCCCCTGTATAGCTTTTATTGGATGTATGGTTTCATTTATCTTAGGAGGAGAATTGCTAAATCATGGGGTAGATACATAGCTAACATTTAAGACATTTAAGACATTTCCATAATGGTCCTCCTACTTTATATTCCCACCAGTAATTTAAGGGTATTCCAATTGCTCAACATAGTTTAACATTTATTATTAGCAATCTCTTTGATGTTGAATATTCTGGATAGTACCATGTCATGATGACTATTGATATTGAGAACTCCTCATGAGCTTTATTTTCCATCTAAAAAGTTTTTGTAAGTTTGTGGAAATGTGCTGTTATTTTCTATAGCTTTCATAGGTCTTAACTAACTGACTTTTGAGATATATATATGTGTATATATATATATAAACCTTGTGAACATATATACATAAGTCCTTGTCAGTAGCCACTACTGTCCATTTCCATTTATGTTATAACGGAAGTGCTCACAGGATCCTGAACTAAATAAAGTCAGCCTCCTTGCATTCCCTAGCAGATTTTGAAAGCTATAGAAATCGTTTTCTTCCGCCCAGTTTTGCTTGGCGCCTGTTTTCCTGTCCTCCTTTTAATGGATTTGCTGTATTGTTTTATCTTTTTTGTTGTTGCTGCATTTTGATAAGCTACCTCTATCCTTTTTGGAACTATCTAAATATAAATAATGAATTTAAAACATTAACCAGCCATTAATTTTAACGACCATATTTTTAGAGCAAGCTGACAACACAGTTTTGTTTCCAAATAAATTATATATATTTTTATAAAAATAGTATACTATATTGAATTTAGTTACAGAAATATAAAAAGAAAAATGTCAATTGTATACTCAATACTTTCATTTTTATTTATAATTTTACATGATTATATATAATTACAGTTAAACTATATATGTAAGTTACAAAACTACAGATTTTACCTTTTTTTTTCCCCACAGTATTCCAAAGATAATTTTTTCATGACTGGGATGGTAGTTTTTTCAAAATCACTGGATAACTTTGTGTATCTTTTACCATCTTAGCTTAGTCTACAGTACCTATTATCTTAGTCTACAAGTACCCTCCTAATTGTTTACTGTTGGTATTTAGTTGACTTAAGACAACTAAATATTCTTTGCTCTGTATCATTACCTCTTTTCCTAATCACGCTTGCTTTTCTTTATTACTGGCAAGAAAATAAACTGTTCACCTTACTTCAGTTCTCCGGGGTTTTCTGGGTTAATTAAAGAATGACTTCAGTACTCCCTACTTATAAACAAAAGTAGTAAAAGATTTGGAGAAAAGTGGAACAGCACAATGCTGTCCACAAAGTTGGGTTTTGTTGAGTTTTTTTTTCTGTTGTTTTTTTGGAAGGTGGAGGAATCCTAATAAGATTCTTTCATTAATCCTTTTTTTAAAGTGTTCTTAGATTCTGGTCACTACTTGTTCTCTGATGCTTTTGCTGAACTTAGCCACCTCATGCTAGTAATTTTCTTTAGGAAACCCTCACATTAGTAATGTTTGTGGTAACTTATTTGTTCTGAGTGGGAAATAATTAGCACCTAGAACAGTACAGGACAGAGGCGAAAGAAGAGAATTAAACAGAATAAGGTTTTGTTTTAAATTTATTTTTACCTTTTATTTGTAAATGTAAAGTACAGTAAGTATATCAAAATTACACAGAAAAATATATGTAATTTAACATGATTTTTATGAGATAAACACCCTGTATAGTGATCACTTAACTCAAGAAATGTAACATTCGGGCCCAGAGCAATAGGATAGCGGGAAGGGCACTTGCCTTGCACAGCTTCCATCCCCAGTTATCTCTTATGGTCCCCCTGAGCACCACCAGGAGTAAGTCCTGAGTGCAGAGCCTGGAATAACCACTGAGCATTGCTGGGTGTGGCCCCCAGGAAAAATAAACAAAAAGAAATGGAACATTCCCAACACAGTTCCCCATGTGCCCTTCTTAATCAGTCCTTTCTCTTCCCTTAAAATCATTCTCATAATTATTTGCCACTCATTTCTCTTTCATTATTTTTTTAAATTGTAATTTGGTACCTTAAATTACAGTAGTGTTCAAGCTTCTAATATTTCTGTACAAAGTTACTGCATGCCCCTGCCACTAATGTGCTCATGATCCTCCCCTCCCCGTGTCACTTTCAGGCCTATTGTGTCCTCCTCGACCCCAACCATTGCTTTATTATTTTGGCTGACAGTGACGGTTTTAGTGCATATTGGTACCACTTTTTAGCACCACTCAGGTACTCAAGACCTTTCACTTTTGTTCCTCTCCCCCAGTGCCTGGCCCTTCCAGGTCTATATTCTAGTGACTGGGGTTTACTAGTGATTGGTATCTTCTAAACCTTTCATTTGTTTCTCTGTATATCACTGATGCCTGAGATCATCCTGTGTTTGTCTTTCTGCCGCTGACTTATTTCACTCATACAGTTCCCTCTGGTTGCAGTGGAGTAACCATGAGATGCATAACTTTATTTTCCCCAACGACTACCTAGTAGTTCATTGTGAATCTGCACCGCAACTCTAATTCATTAACCTGTTGTTGGCCATTGGGTTGCTTCCATATCCTGGCTGCTGTTCTCAGAGCTATAGTGAGCATTAGTATTTGTTGGATCTGTAGGAGCAGGATGGCCAGGTCAGTTGGAAGCTCCGTTCCTACTTCTTTGAGAGCTCTCCATATTGTTTGTCACAGACCAGGTGACATTTCTACCAGTCGACCATTTTCTTTCCTTATAGCTTTGTAGCACCCCTGGGCTATGTCCCCACCTGTCAGTATAATCAATTTTTGTTCTGTATGTACCTGATTAAAAGACATGTTCTCTTAATGCAAAAGTGTGACTTCGACCAATTCCTCTTTGTCAGTAACAATTCTTATTTGAATTCAGTACTTCCAGTGTTTTTTTAGCTTTTATATTTCTCTGGGAAATTAGTGAAATGATTACTTTATCTGGTGTGGGAAGAATAATTACTAAACTAAAATATACTGTTTTATATATATACATATATATATATATATATATATAAGCAGTATTTTGTATTGTTTTAGGGCCACACCCAGCAGTACTCAGAACTTACTCCTGGTTCTCAATGCCACTCAAGGGTCATTCCTGGTGGGGTTCAGGGGACCACATGGGATACTGTGGAGCCACATGTAAGGCAAGCACCTACTGTATTATTGCATCAGCTCCAAAACAATATTTTTATGGTAATAATTAACCTGACTGAAATGAAGATGCATTTGTTTTGTTTATTTGGTAGGTTTTAGTTTGGGGATTACACCCACTGGTGCTCAGGGCTTATACTCTTGGCTCTGTGCTCAGGGTTCACTCCTAGCCGGGCTCAGGGATCATATGTGGTAATGCAGATTGAATCCTTGTCGGCCGTGTGCAAAGCAAGAACCCCAGTCACTGTGGCATCTCTCCAGCCCCTGAAGATAGTTTAAGAATTCATCCTATAAGAGGATGGATTCAAAAACTATTACATAAGGTAGTAGTTTTTGCTTAATTTTTTTTTGATTGAGATTCTGTGGAGTGCAATTCTGTTAATATGTCTTGATAATGAGAAACCGTTATAAACAGTATTGCAATAATGTAGTAATTAGACTGCAAGCGACTAAATCATCCCAGATAGATTGAAAACTCTTAGACCTTCTCAGAGTGGAGACAGGCAGATCCTGCTCCCTCCCAGAGAGGCCCAAGGGCAGCCGAAAGTGACTTCTAAACATATCAACAGCCCAGCGTCACAGCTCCTGTGCCGCTGTGCAGCGCCTCCAGATCTCACAGTATTAACAGCCCAGTAGGAGCCAGTAAACTTGATGGGAAAGTTGCTTAGAAGCCCACCAAACTCAGTGAGTGGAAACAATAGCACAGAATGCTCGACCAGCTCAGTAAATCCTCAGTGACTTTAGTAACTCCATTGAGATAAAACAGTTATCACAGATTAACTTTTATTGACCTATCTTGTGATAATTCCATTTGCCATTTTGTTGTAACAGCAATATGATATAAAATTGTGTCTGCTAAGGAGGCCAGTTGGGGGTGGGGAAAACCTGAGGACATTGGAGGAGGGAAGATCACACTGGTGATGGGATTAGTGTTGGAACCCTGGATGCCTGAAACAACTGTATTATGGATAACCTTGTAAATCAAGTTGTTCTTTTTTTTTAAAAAAAAAAAACTTTGGGGGCTAGAGTGATAGCACATCGAGTAGGGCATTTGCCTTGCATGTAGCCAACCCAGGTTCAATTCCCAGCATCCCATATGGTCCCCTGAGCACCACCAGGAATAATTCCTGAGTGCAGAGCCAAGAGTGACCCCTATACATTACCAGGTATGACCCAAAAAGCAAAAAAAAAAATCCTTTTTCATGCACAAAATTCCAACATTACACCTATTACCAATGTACCCACCTTCCTCCACAAAGGACCCCAACATCTCTCTGACATAACATTTTGACAATGGCCACAGCATTCTCCTGTCAAAAATCCCTCCCTTAAAATTAAAGACATGGTTATGAGTTATATTAATAGTTTTGATGATTGGTGTGCGAGGAAAGCTCAAAATTTGGATTTGTTTGTTTGCTTGCTTCCAGATTTTGTACTTCAGCTGCTGATTTGAAAATTAGATTATTTACTTCGGATCTTCAAGAAAAAAATGAATACAAAGTATGTATAAGTCTTTTAGTTTAAAGCATATTTTGATTTTTTTTTAAATTGGGGTGGGACGATTGGGCCATATCCAGTGGTTACTGGGGCCTCTGTTGCTGTGGTTGCTCTCACCAGTACTTGGGAACCATTCAGTGCCAGAGATTGAACCCTGAGTCTCCCACATGTGAAACAGGCTTCCCAGCCCATCGGGCTCTCTCTCCAGCCCATTTTTTTCTTTCCTAATTGGATTAATCCCCATATAAACTGACTTTTTTCTTTCAGTGCCGGGGATTGAGCCCAACGTCTCAAACATGCCAGGCATGCAGTCTATCCTTAAGTCATAGCCTCAATCCCAAAGTGGAGTAAGCATGATAATCTTTATGTAACATAAGTCGCTCCTACTCTCTACCAGATTTTAGAAACTATGTCCTTACGAATAAGCGATAGAACAGTGGGTAGGGTGTTTGCCTTGCACACAGCCGACCAGGGTTTGATTCCTCCATCCCTTTCAGAGAGCTTAGCAAGCTACCAAGGTATCCCGCCTGCACGGCAGAGCCTGGCAAACTCCCCGTGGTGTATTCAATATGCCAAAAATGTAACAAAAAGTCTCACAATGGAGACGTTACTGGTGCCTGCTCAAGCAAATCGATGAACAGTGGGAGGACAGTACTACCGTCCTTACAAAGGACTGCAGATTACAAATCTGCTCCCATTTATTAAAGTAAAACACAGGCTACCTGAAGGGGTACGGCCTGGTGGAGTATGGGACCTACAAGGAGGCAGGAGCTGCCAAGACCTGGGGGGCAGCCCGTCTGCTTGCACTGGCACTGTGTCTGGGAGGTGAAAGGAGGGAACATAAGCAAGCAAGGAGGTGGGAGATCAAGCAACTGGAGTGCATGCGGGAGTCACTGCTGAAAGGCCCTCAGGGGCCCCTGAGACCCACTGCAGAGACCATCGTACCACTCAGTTTTAGGGACATGGACTGGCGGGGACCTCAGCTTGTTAATCCCATTTCCTGTTTGCTTGGTTGCATTGAATTATGCATAAAATGTTTCTATGTTCAAACTTCTTAAAAAGAAAGTAAAACGTGAGAGAAGCACAGCAAATGGAGAGGAATTAGAAATTCAGAGATTGGTATTTTAGGAATATAAGAGATTTGAAACCAATATCAGACATCAAGGGACCAAACAGTCAGCACAGTGCAGTGCATTGCTGCCCAGCAGTGGTCAGAGTATTTAAGGGCCAGGCACAGAACACTGTTAACGAGCATAGACACATGGATTGTTGGCCACCCGGCTCGGAAGCCCAGTCATCTGCTTAGTGACAGTGTAACTTTGGTCAAGTTTCCGTTTTCTTGGTATACTAATTTCCTTAACTGTAAAATGGGGAAAATCCTAACATCTGCCTCATTGAATTATGTGAATGCACTTGACTAACTTTTACAAAACATTTAGAACAATGGTACATACAGAGTGTAATATTTGTGTTATCTATTAGGATAATAAGCAGCCCTATAAAATAAGTCACAGAATAATTCTTCATGACTTCACTTATGTAGAATTTTAAAAATCAGTTTAAAAAAAAAAACCAAAAATAATAAAATGGTGGTTGCCGGGGTCTGGGAAAATGTTAGTAAGAGCACACATATTTCTAGCCACAAAATGAACAAGGTAAGCATAACAAGTATAGTTAGCAATACCATATCTAATACCGAAAATTTTCCCAGAGATGGACCTTAACTATTTGACCAGGGCTCAGGAGATAGGCCAGTCGTTCTGGCACATGCCCCCCTGGATCAGTCCCCAGCGCTGCATGGCCTCCTCTACATCCCCAGGTACAATCCTGGAGTCCCTGCAACACCGTCAGGGTGGGCCCTGGGGGCTCCCAGTGCTTCAGAGCCCTACTGCTTGGGAAGCCTCCTGCCCTCAAAAGAAGGTTTCTTTCACCACCAAAAAAAATTGTAATTATTTAAGAAAATGGAGGAATTCTCTAACATTATTATGGAAAGCATTTTATAACATATGTATTATTCAATGAGCTGTACATCTTAAAGATATGCAGAATTATATATTAAGTATATCTTAATACACCTTGGGGAAATTAGTTCTCAGTTGGGGTTGGAGCCTCTTCAAGTTTTTATAAAGAGCTTTCCTTGAGTTTCCAGTTAAATCACGGTCACGGTCCTCCCATTGTTCTTCGATGTGCTCGAGCGGGCCCAGTAATGTCTCCATTGAGACACTTGTTACTGTGTTTGGCATACCGAATACGTCACGGGGAGCTTGCCAGGCTCTGCCATGCGGGCGAGATACTCTCGGTAGCTTGCCGGGCTCTCCGAGAGAGACGGAGGAATCGAACTCGGGTCGGCCATATTGGCTGCGTGCAAGGCAAATGCCCTACCGCTGTGCTATCGCTCCAGCCCTTCCAGTTAAATATGTAAATAATTTTATAAAAACTAAAATAAGATATAAATCTTTCCTGTCACTTAGAAAATATTAAAAAGTATGCTCTAAGTATATACAGTGAGTGATATATATATTAGTTATACTATATATATTCATTTTTTTGTGGCTGTGTCAGTAAATAAACACACAAATGGAACATAAAATTTTCACCTGTCAATAAATGGAGGAAAGAAGGATAGATTGAACTTTCAGTGGTGAGTATAATGTAGGATATGTAGGCATTGATTTATAATGATACGTACAATAGTCACTATGTGTGTGTTTGGGCCACAGCGGCAATGCTGTTTCTGGCTCTGTGCTCTAGGGTGACCCCTGCCAGTGCTCAAGGAACCATACATGGGTCAGCATGATGCAGCACTAGAACCTTAAGCCTGCTACTATCTCCCTGAACTATACATTAAATGTTTAATGTTAATTTCATCTGTTTTATAGACAGTAGTGATACTTTGGAAAATTATTTGGACGACCTAAGCTTGTTGAAGATATATAGGATTACTTGAATCAAATCTTATTTTATTTTTAGTGATAATAGAATTATATAGTTAGAAATAGAAGTAGTACTAAATAAAACATTTTAGTCAAATTTTAGAGTAAAATTAAATTTGGATTTTGGAGACTTTATTTAGATCCCGGGATCAAATTCAGCCTGGAAAAATGGCTCAAAGGGCTTGAGCAGATGCTTTGTGTGCAAGAGCCTCAGGGGTGATCTGCAGCATCATGTGTTCTTCCAGCTACCACCCAGGAGTCACCCTGAAGTCCTGTCTTGAGAGTGACCCTAAAACATCATTAAATAATTTCATTTTTCAAATAAAATATTTGGGGCCAGGCACAGCTGACCTGGTTTGATCCCTGGCCCTCTGTAAGGTCCTCTGAACATTGTCTGGAGAGATACCCAAGCACAAAGCTAAGAGTAAGCCATTAGCACCACTGGATGTGGCTAAAAAAGAAAATATTAATAGTAATAATAGCACTGTAGCACTGTCCTCCCGTTGTTCATCGATTTGCTTGAGTGGGCACCAGTAACATCTCCATTGTGAGACTTGTTGTTTCTGTTTATGGCATATGGAATACACCACGGGGAGCTTGCCGCTCTGCCATGCCAAGCTACTCTCAGTAGCTTGCGGGGCTCTCCAAGAGGGACAGTCACATGCAAGGAAAACGCAACCCGCTGTGCTATCCCTCCAGCCCAACAGTAATAATAAAACAAACAAAAAAAATTGAGTTTCTGATCCAGATGTGCCAGATGGGTTTTTAACAATACAGATATGGACTAATTGAACATATCTGCTCAGATAGTCCTCCACCTTGCAAGTTCTTATTTTGTTTCCTTTTCTAGCTAGAAGAGGATTTCTGGATTGCTTTGATAAAGGGCTTATTACACTCTGTTACTGGCAGTTACATTGAACAAGTTACATTGAACAAGTTACATTGAACAAGTACATTGAACAAAGACTTTGAAGGTGAAGTCCCTATTGTATGTTTATTAGATAACAATAAATTTCCACAGAAGAGGGCATGAGGTTAAAAAAAAAAGAGGCTTTCTCTGTTTCAGTGTTTGTAGACATTCTTTGCTCATTTTTTTTCACTTATATGATATCTTAAGTGAGACAGAAAGTGATATAAAGACAAATGCTGTTAAAAGTATGTTTTCATATGAAATAAGTACTAGAAAAGGATGATCATGCTAATGTATTATATGATCAACCTCTTTCTAAGACAAACCATCCGGAAATGTATATAAATCAGGCTTTTAAAGAAGCAGATTGCAGGCCAAAGTGATAGTATAGAGGGTAGAGTGTTTGCCTGCACACAGTTTACTGAAGTTCAGGCCCCAAAAAAACAAAAAATTTTAAAAAGTAGCAGATTGCTTGATAAATCCTTACGGAAAAGAGAAGCATGCAGTGAACGTATTTTAAGGTAATGAAGTTAAAAATTAGGTAGGAATATTGTAGGTTATTTTCCTGTGTTATACTAACTTTTCTCTTTATGTCAGATTTTAGAAGGCCATTCTGATTTCATTAATGGTTTGGTGTTTGATCCCAAAGGAGGCCAAGAAATTGCAAGTGTGAGTGATGATCATACCTGCAGGTATGTTGCTTAAATGCAGAGTACATTTTTGAATTTTTATCTTTAACTGTATTTTGAAAACTAGAGAAAATATAAATTCTGTATATTCTCCAGAGTGTGTGTGTGTGTGTGTGTGTGTGTGTGTGTGTGTGTGTGTCGCAGGTGGGGGGGTGGGAGGACAGGACACATTATTTAAATTGTGATCATGGCACAAGCAAGAATTTCAAAACTGGTGAATTTAAGTGCTCATTCTATTTAATGGAATCTTCTTACTGATTTTTGGGTGCCTCTATCTTCTGCACTATTAAGGAGTACTTTAAAAATAGTGATCTATAAGAATTTTAAATCCATATGTGGTTAAATTATTCAATATAGACAAGATTATTTGGATTACAAATCACTTGTCATATCATAGGCTGGTGTTTAATAATGAACTGCAAAGCTCATTTATTTTAGCTGAGGTGCAAAGTTTTAGGGGAAAATAAATGACCAACCCCCTGAAAATCTACTTAAGCAAACAAAAAACGAATGCTCCCAAATGCACCCAAGGTCATTGCCACCCCAGATGTTCTGTCTGAACCCCTACATTCCCACTCCCAGCGCCAGTATCACCCATATTGAGAAATATTTGCCTATAGCAAGCTTCATGGAAATGTAATCTATTCTCACTTTCCTAAGTTGCTATATAAGGTTTCCTGTGGATATATCTCAGTATCAGTCTTCCGCAGTACCCCTAGTTGGTAACAGAAGAAGCTTACATAAAACATTTTACTGCTGCTTAAAGCCAGAAAATATCATAAGTAAAGAACAAGATAAAGATGTACAAGGTAAAATTAAGCTGAGAAGTCGGAGTGCCGTGGAATCAGGTGAATTAGTCCCTAGAGAGAGATCATCTGTTTTCATGTACTCCAAGCCAAAACAAAAAAGCTTTTGCATGGTTTTAATGCTTGATAAATCTGTATCAAGATTATTAGGTCTTATAAACAGGATATACATATTAAACTTCACTTTTTTCTCCACAAATGTTTTTAATATTAAAGAACAAAAATATATGAATTTTCAAATTTAAAAAGATACAAGAAAATCCCAGAACCAAGTAAACACTGATAAATAGTATACACCTCTGAAGGTTTAATGAAACAAATTAGAAACAGAAATAGAAAATGTCAGCATTAAAAAACAAACACTGTCCAAACACTGTCCTCCCATTGTTCATCAATTTGCTCGAGCGGGCCCAGTAACGTTTCCATTGTGAGATTGTTGTTACTGTGTTTGGCATATTGAATACGTCACGGGTAGCTTGCCAGGCTTTGCCGCACGGGCGAGATTTTCTCGGTAGCTTGCTGGGCTCTCCAAGAGGGGTGTAGGAATCGAACCCAGCTCGGCCGGGCTGGCTGCGCACAAGGCAAGCACCCTACTGCTGTGCTATCGCTCCAGCCCCATTAAAAAACAAATTGATAGAATTATATATTAAACTTGAAAAAGTATCCTTTCACCCTGAAAACTAAAGTCACTAATTCTTAAATTTTAATCTTATTGTTCATCTTTAAGTTTATAAGATTATAAGACTATAATTCTGTACATACTGCCTGTTGAAATTATTATTGTAAGGGATATAAAAAAAATGTTGATGACATAAAATTCTAGAGTCCCGGGAGTTAAAAAACTAAGTCATATATAGTTCTGGAGAGTAAATGAAATATTTTTTTCTTTTCTTTTTGTGTTTTTTGGGGTTTTGTTTTTGAGCCACACCCAGCTGTGCTCAGGGCTTCTCCTGTCTCTGCCCTCAGAGATCACGCCTGGTGGGGCACAGTGAACCAAGTGGATTGCCAGGGATTAAACCCAGATTGACCACATGCAAGGCAAATGCTTTATCTGCTGTACGATTTCTCCAACCCCCAAAAATTTTTAAGGCAGAAATTTTATTTGATCACTGGAAGTAAAGACATTTAGTTCTCTAACACTTAGGCTGCCCTAATCACAAGTATTTGGTATAATGAAATTTGAAATGGGAGAGATGAGTGTCTCTACAAGCAAGAAGTAACTTCTGAATAGTTAACAACAGCCTGAGAGACCTGAAACTAACTTCAGTGGTCTGTGATTACTCTTTCTTTCAGTGGACTTGCAGATTTGGTTGATTAGTACAGTGTCCTAAAATTGGGTGTGCTGACAGGAGATTGCCAACTTTTTATTTTGTTCAGTTATGAGAATTCTTAAGGGCTACTGCTTTGCATTGTTAAACCATCATTATATAAAAGAAAATATTTATTACTCTGTAAAGGAGAAAGGACTTAATTCCAAGGTAGGCTTTCATAGACCCAGAAGATAGTTCAAAAGACTGGAGTGCATGCTTTTTATGCAGGGAACCCCGAGCTTGATCCCTGGAGCCTCATGACGTCCCAAGCTTCATAGGGAAGTAACCCAAGAGCACTGAAATAGGAGTAGCCCCTGAACACCACTAAGTGTGGTTCAAATAATAGACAATAAGGGGGGAAAAGTAGGTTTTCATTTAAGTTAATTTTTTTTAACTCATCACAATCCCACTAATAAGTCTCTTTCTGCTCTATCTCTTTCTGCTAAGCCTTAATTGGTGGTGTTATTGTTTAGCAGATGCCTATGGAAGGTGGTGATTTTCTTTGTTGGGCTTAGCCCTGTGACTTGATTTTTTAATTTTGAGTTATTGGCGGTGGGGGGGGGGGGCGGTGTTTTTGTTTTGGGACCATATCCAGTGATGCTCAAGGCTTACCCCTGGTTCTCTGTTCAGGAATCACTTCTGGCAGTGATCTGGGACCAGAGAGGGTGGCAGCGATTATTGGATTTCATTGGATTGTCCTTGCTCCTTCTGCAGGGAACTTTATTTTATTGAGTTACTCCCACAACAGTGCCCCTGAGGCACACCCAGTTCTATCAAGCACTAATAATCCTATGTTGCTTTTCTCTTTCCTTAATGGTCATTTGCATGGTTTAGCAGTGGCCTTTTTGGTTTATTATTTTATTTTTGGTTTTTTTGTTTGTTTGTTTTTTGGGTCACCTTGGCAATGCACAGGGGTTACTCCTAGCAGTGCTCAGGGGACCATATGGGATACTGGGAGTCAAACCCGGGTCAGTCGCGTGCAAGGCAAATGCCGTACCTGCTGTGCTATCGCTCCAGCCCCTAGCAGTGGCCTTTTTGTAAAGACACAGGAAGACAGTTGATGCTATGCTTTTGTAACATGACAGTTAACTGACTCCAAATACTATTTACTCCTGGGTATCCATCACATTTACCTGACGTAAGCCTCAGTTGCCTTTATTTCCTAATACCCCCAAAAGGAGGGTCCTGGCGAAGGGACTGGGTGGACCCAGGGCAAGCTGTAAGCTACCCTGGCATCGAAAGGGGACAAACTAAGCACCATAAGAATAATAAGTTAAGAGCATGGTCATGGAACAAACTCTGTCATGACCCAAAAAGAAGTAACTGAATAAGGACCTTGCTGGGATTAGGAAAGAGTAACGTGGCCTGACAACTGTGGTCTGGAATATATAGCAAGATGTCCCCAGGAAGGGCCAACCTTTAAACTTACTATATCTCTTACTGTGTTCATAGAAAATGACCAGAAATATTATAAGAAGTAAATTTACTGTGATTGTTTAAATGGATTTCTAGCTGAGGAAAGGAGATAGCTATACACCATGGATGGAATCCCTCTCCTAGTAACCTGGAGTGCAGAACCCTCAGATGAGATTTTGTCCTTGAGTTAGTTCCCTAGAACTTCCCCTGAAGGAGTGGCTTTACCTCTGCTTGTTGTTATGACCGTGTTCAACCCCACCTATGTGTACCCCCACCCTCCATGATTCCTATATAACTACGCTGTAAGGGGTAAGAGGGAACTAGACTAGGACAAGAAGTAGAGGACTTTGAGGTCTATGAGGAAACTAGAATGATGGAACTATGATGACTGGGACTAATACCAAAACTATGACTACGATTGTGCTATAAGAGGAAAGATCAGACTATGCTGGGGAGGAGAGAGAAATAAAACTGACTATCAACAAGCCTGGGGCCCTGTTTCTCCGTTCCCGGGTCCTTCAGTCAGTTCATCACCATGGGCTGGCCCAGAAACGGTTCTCAGCCACCAAGTGCTCTAGTGCTGGAGTCCCATGCGCCACCTTGCCTTTCTTTTGAAACTCACAAGAGATCAAACCAGGGTCATCTGCATGCAAATCAAGAGCCTTATCCCATATAGACCTTATCAAGTGCCTGTCTCTCTTGCACCAAGCCATGTGAGTTACTTTAGCCAATGTAATGTTGGCAGATGTGATGTAAGCAGCCACTTCTACTATTTGGTTTGTGTTAACATACTGTCCTCTGTCTTTCTCTATGTGTATGTCGTAGTTACTGACCTTAGAAGGAGAAACACGTGGAACTCATATGGACCCATCTGGCATTCTTAAATAGAACTTCTATAGAACAGTGAGCCAAAAGTTTATGTTTATTTTTGGTAAGCACTGAGATCTGGGGGGCCAGTAACATAGCTGTAGCAGTAATTGGGAGCTAAATTTAGAATTCATGACTTAGTTCACCAAACAGAAGTAAAGGACAGTTCTCATTGACTATTAAAGTCAATCATCCTTAGACTGAAAGCTAAGCATATATAAAAAAGAGTTTTAAAAAATATGGGCTAGGGCTGGAGAGATAGCACAGTGGGTAGGGCGTTTGCCTTGCACGCGGCCGACCCAGGTTCAATTCCCAGCATCCCATATGGTCCCCTTAGCACCGCCAGGAGTAATTCCTGAGTGCAGAGCCAGGAAGTAACCCCTGTGCATCACCAGGTGTGACCCAAAAAGAAAAAAAAAAAAACACGGACTAGAGAGGTAGTACACTGGGTAGGACCTTTGTCCTATATATAAACTACTCAGGTTTAATCCCTGGCATCCCAAATGGTGCCTTTAGCATTGCCAGGTATAATTCCTGAGCCTGGAGCCAAGAGTAACCTCTAAGCATCACCAGCTGTGGTTGGGGGGGGGGGGGCGAAAAAAAG